GAGCCTCGGGCCTGTGGTTCCGGCGCTTGGGGAGGCGGGGGAGAGGCGTGCCCGCGCCCGGGCCGCTCGGCGAAGCCTCATCTCCGCAGCACGTCGGAAAATTAGCCGGGGAGCCGGCCCTCGCCTGCCGGTCGTCTCCTGGAAGGCTGAGGCGGGAGATCGCGGAGCCCGGCGGGTCGAGCCTGCGGTGGCCGGGACTGGCCCCTGCACTCCAGTCTGGGCGGCACAGTGAGACTCAGAAGACAAAGCAAGACCTGCCCTGCACACATGGATGAAACCAAGGGGATCTCTTGCAAGGTCGTGCTTGTGTGTTTTCTCACGTGTAGGTCTTGAGCAGAAAAGAGAAAGCGCAGGCTATTCTGGGTCCGCCCAGGAATACTCCCAGACTCTGGGCAATGTCCCTGTCAGGGGTGGAGAAGGTGGGGAGGGAGGGGAGGCTGAGCTTGTTGAACTCCAGGGCGAAGTGTGCAGGGTGTGATACACTTACTTTCAGGTGTGGTTTCCCACACGGAAGCTCTTCTTCCTGCTTGGCTTCCACCTGTAGCCCTTCCCTCTAGCGTGTCCCCTAACACATCCACACTCCAAGCCCAGAAGAAAGCAAGGCCTCAGGGAGTTTTTCTTTGGATAATTGACGTGAGAACTATTCCTCCCTTGAGGGGAGATCCCACCCCTCCGCAAACAGGAGCTCTCTAAGGGACACAGCACTGCTGGGGGTTGTGTGGAGGATGGTCTTGGAGGACTGTTGTTTTCTTGCAAATGTTTACAGCGGGTGTCAAAATTCAATCATAGGCTCCTACGTGCAGGGGGAAAAAAGGAATGACAAGTGGCCTGGGCCACAGTTTTTCCTGTATCACTTGTGCTTTGTGCAAACATTCAGGGGAAGTAGACACCGTGGAGACTGTCAAGATGGATACTGTGTCGCTCCTGCCTTCTGGCGCTCTGGGGGAGACATTCTCACGGGGCTTCCAAAGTCTGGAGAAAGGAAAGAACTGCGAGATCTCCCTGCTCTCAGTGAGAATGGGGCCCTGGCCACAGGGTGCTGGAGTGGACAGTGGCGGGGCACAGGGACACCTCGAGACCTCCCAGGCCCGTTCAGGGCTGTGTCTCTTCTCCCTGGTGGGGGCTCGGCCTGCCGCGCCCAACTTTGAGGCTGACTCTGGCTCAGAGCACCCGTAACCCCAGGATGTGTCCTTGGCTGGGATACAAGGAAGTCGCTGAAGTCTCACTCGAAGCTTCCACTCACCTGGAGCCCCATGAGCTGGGATAGCCCATTCTGCCTGTCACGAAATACGCACTCTCTCCCCCATCTTCTCCTCAGTTAGCCAGAACCCAGGATTTCCTGATGAGGCTAATGGAAAACAGTGCGCCGCCTGGGCTTCCCACAGAGCACCTGTGAACCCTGGCAAGACAGCATAAGACTGGCAGCTCTAGCCGAGGTTCTGCAGTCCTCCTCAACAGCTTACTGGAGGGAAAAGGCATGAGCAACGCTGTGGAGGCGGGGAGAGCACTTGGAACTTTCCTGGGAGTTTTGCCGTCTTCTGAAAGTGCGGCCGGCAGCTAGCTCAAGGTCTGCTGTACCTACGCCGTTGGATGAAGAATAAAAATCGGAGTCCTAGCCTACCTGTTTTTGACTTAAAAACTTGCTGCCTAAGAGAAGTAAGACAGACGACGTGATGCATTCGCTCAAAAAGTGCCTTTCCTGGGACACTTGCATGTCCTTGTGGTTTGCCCCCTTATGAACTCCATTCATGGAGAGAATGAAGGTGAAGCTGGAGGAGGGGAGGCCGGCAGGGGGCGGGTGGAAGCGAGGGCGTGTCGGGGGGACAGAGATTGGGGTGGGGTTGCAGGAGGAACATCGGCATGCTGCCCTTGAACACCTAAATCTTCTCAACACGCAGAGAAATATGTCCTCAGGAGGCACAGGGCACCTTCTGAGTCATCCCTCCTCAGATGCAAAGACGCAGAGGTTCTGTTGTCCAACTGGGCAGAGGGGAGAGGATGGACGGTATGCACCCTCTCCCAACAGTTTTGTTTCTTTAAGTATGTAGTTCTTCAAGATTATGGTAAGAAGAAAAGTCAGGAAACAGAGCCCTCTACTTACTGAGCCGGGAAATATTTTGGAAATCATATAGTTCAATCAGCTGGCCTTAGGTGAGGAAATGATGGCCAGGCAGGTTAAGTATGCCTGAGGTTAGGCAACCAGTTAGGAAGAGGGGCTAGAATCCACACTGTGTTCCTAAGTCAGACATTTAACTTTATTTTTTATCTTGCCATAAGCTCGTACAAGGATGCATGTAGTATAGCTGTGCTAAATCTTGCTTTTTTTACACTTTAGGTCAAGATGGGGTTTATATTTTCAAAATCTATGAATGAAAACATGAAACATCAACAAGAGTTTATGCTTATGAATGCTCAACTTCAGGTACGTTTTACAATAATTAAGCTCTTCTGTTGTTACGATGGTTAAAACTCCTACCACGTGTGCTCCAGCAGTGTGTTCTCTTTGATCCCCAAAGATGAAATGCTCTTGGGGCTCCATCCTGAAAGTCAAGATGAAGCAGGCGACTGTCTGGTGAGTAGGGTTGCTTAAGTGCCTAACCCAGATACTTGGGCAGAAACCTCAATAACAGACCCTCAGAGATAGCCATGTTCTAATCCCCAGGACCTGTGACTGTGTTACCTTTCATGGCAAAAGGGACTCCTTTCAGTGTGATTGTTTAAGGAGTTTGAGATGGGGAGATTATCCTGCATTATGCAGATGGGTTTGTTGTAACCATAAGGGTCATTATAAGAAAAAGAAGGAAGCGAGAGTGAGAGAGACTTGAAGATACTACACTGCTGGCTTTGAAGATGGACTAAGGGACCTAAGTTAAGGAATTTGGGTAGCCTCTAAAACCTGGGAAAGACAAGGAAACATATTCTTCTCTAAAACCTCCAGAAGAATGCAGTCCTACCAGCCCATTTTGGACTTCTGACCTCAGAACTATAATAGATTTGTGTTGTTTTAAGACACTGAGTTAATGATCATTTGTTACAGCAGCAATAGGGAAGTAATACAGAAAACTTGACGTTGGATTTACGTGATGGCTGGGCAGAGAAGATCAAAGTGTCACAGGAGATTGTCTAACTGCCTGGTACAGATTGTCAAAAAGCATTTTAAAATGTTGCAAGTCAAAATCAAGTGTTAAAAGTTTGACCTGAATTATTATTTTTTAAGATTTCAGCTGAAGATTTCTAGGCCTCTGGTCCATCACGGCCCTGGGAATAGAAGGCCTACTGTATGGCAGTACAGATAGCTAGTGGCTGAAAGTGAGGAGTAAAGCCAAACTTCCTGGGGTTAAGTCCCAGTTCCATCTCTGACTGACTGTATGACCTGCGCCTCAGTCTCCTGATCTGTGCCCTGGAGGTAATATCCCCTCAGAGGGATGTTTTAAGGAGTAAAGATGAGATATAGTATATAGAACCATGTCTCAAGTCTGCAAAAAGGCCTCTCACTCTGTATTAGTTGTTGCTGTTGTGACTGTTGCTGTTCGACCGGCAAGAGTGTTTTATGCAAAATAAACATTTCTTTTGGGGAAATAAGACTGTTGAAGAAGGAGCAACTTGAATTTTTTGCAACAGAGTGAAGTGACCTAGAGGAGACCCAATGTTGGGTGTGTGAGTCAGCCAAGCATATCATTTGCTTGGAGTGTCCTTGTCAAAGACCCAGAAAACCCCAGGGCATTTACCCTTGTGTCAGTCCGCACGAAGTCAGAGTCTGTGAGGGCTCTGGGACTTTACCCCACCCGCGCGCTTACAAGTTAGTCTGTTTCAGAAGGCTGTGGAGTCAGAGACCAGAGACAGGACACTGGTCATTCACAGCACAGCAAGCAGCATGCGAGTGGTGCTGGCGTCAGCCCTGCGTGTCCCCAGGACTCGAGGGACAGAGACGGGCAGGCGCTTGAGTGGTGCCGCGTGCGCGGGGTCTGTGCCGCACTTGAGAACGGCGGGCTCGGACATCCACCGCTTCTGCGGC